CACTTGTTCTGGATTGCAATTTAGACCTGGATTTAAAAAAAATCTTTTAAGCTATTTAGCTCTAAAGCCCATCCTTTCTAGTTAAGCCTAGAAGTGACAGTTTGTTACTTCTTTCTCTCTTCCGTCTTTCAGTCAATAATAGTGGTACACCGATGTATCAATCCAATATTGGATTGGTACAGATATTAAAAAAAAAATATATTGGATATCGGCCTTAAGTGGCTGGTAATTGGGCTAATAAATGCCCGTGCTGCATGCAGCCTGTATGCAGTGAAGAGACAGCCTGCAGTGTGGAGAGCTGCCTCCAGCTGATAAGTCTGGGGGGAGAGGGAGGCTGGGGCAGGGGCAAGTGCTGCCTAGTTTGGGCAGGTGGGCAGAGGATGAAGCCTCAGCTTGTCTGGGTTGTGGGATAGAGCAGGGCTCGTCCATGGGGTGCAGGGCAGGCGGAGGCAACTCCTGCTGCTGCATGCAGCTCATACTCTGGCTCCCGCTGCTGCTGCTGTCACTTGTCCAGGAGGGCACAGTGTGGGGGAGGGGGGCAGGTGTCCCTGGATCTGCATGGGGTGGAGCAGGCTGGGGCTGTTCCCAGCAAAGCCTGGGCTGGATGGGGTGCAGGGTGGGTGGCAGTGCCGCTGGGAGTGGGGGCTATGAGAGGGCTGTGGTGAATTTTGGGGTGCTTGCAGCTCTCTCTGTAGCCCCCTCCCAGTGGTGCTGCCTCACACCCCGTGTAGCCCAGGCTCTGCTGGGAACAGGCCCCAGATCTGTGCAGGGTGAACTGGGGCTGGGGCAATTCCCAGTGGAGCCTGGGCTGGGTGGAGCAGGGGGTGGTGGTGCTGCTGGAAGGGGGCTACAGGGGGGGCTGTAGCCACCCTGACATTTGCCATAACCCCCTCATAGCCCCCTGCTCCCAGCAGCATCACTACCCACCCCACCCAGGCGGCCCAGGCCCCATGGGGAACAGCCCCTGCCGCAGCCTGCCCTACCCAGTGCAGATCTGGGGGCACATGCTCTTACTCTTCCACCCCCCCACCCATGTCCTCCTGGATGAGTGACAGCAGCAGTGGCAGGAGCCACCTCACCCTCTCTCTGCACCCCCTGGATGAGTTCTGCTCCATCCCACCCCCCCCCCCAGATGAGCTGCAGCTTCCTCTCGTTGCCGGCCTGCCCTCCCTGACTGGGCAGCGCATGTCCCTGCCTCCCTCCCTCATGGCGGGGCCTTGACCTGACCCCCCTCCCCCTTCTGCCACACCAGACTTACCTGCTGCAGGTAGTGTATTGGATATCGGATTGGTATCAGCCAATATGCCTCCTTAAATATCGGCTATTGGTATCAGTCTCAAAAATCTATTGGTGCACCCCTAGCTGATAATATACCAAGCTATCACTAAGAGGGGAAGTATCAATCCTTATTCACAAGAAGCTACCCTACAGGATATTATGTAGCTTTAGTTAACATAAGAATGGTTTAAATGGTCTTTAATTTTGGCATATTATTGAGGAATCAGACCTCAGCGGTAATGTCTTTTATTAGGCCAATTAGATAATTGCAAAAAATATATATATTTGCAAGCTTTCAGACAAATTAACCCTTCCTCAGGCATCAGAGAATTCAAGGATTGTAAAATTTCTCCTAGGTGGAACTGAAAATTCATATTTTACAGGAGAGCTGAAGGTGTTATAAAGTCTCATGGTTGAAATAGTTCAGTTTGTGCAAATTAGGTTCAGATAAAAGTTAGAACAGTCTTTTTACCTCTCTGTTGTCTGATGTCAAGTAGGATGTTGAATTACGTTTCCTTCTTGTTATGATGTTTCATATTTCACAGGAGGATGATGTGATAGATGCTGTCCTGGGCAGGAAATTCTCTCCTGTTGGGGCACTTGGAGCTGTGTGAACATGCAGATTGAGCTGGAACAATAGGCAGGAGCCAGGGTGTCAGCTTTCAGGTTGTTCCAAGGTGGTAAATTTGTTTCCTTGTAAAATTATGAAGTTTTATACTATTAAGGTATTAAGCAGGCATTCCCTTGAGATGCCCATTGTAGCTATTACAAAAGTAAGTCTGTGCTCTCTTCCTTATCAGTTAGAAAGATAATGCATGAGAACAGGCTTTTATGTAAACTTTTTTAAGTTCTAGCAGTTTATAAAATGCTTACCTTGTTTGAGGATAAGCACTTAGAAGAGGCCTAGCTACTTAGAAGAGGCTTACTAGGTCTTTATTGAACCTCTCTACAACTAAACAAACTAGTTCTACAAGGAACCTTTTTTTTTTTTTTGGACTCTTACCTGTTAATTTCTGATCTTGTTGCCACGCATTAATATGTCGTTCTAGGCTGAAGGGTGGGTGGAGCATTAACTTAACTTATATTAGTCTTAACTTATTTTAGATTACTTGTAAACAAAAGGGTTTTTTTTAAAGCAATCTAACTGGATGGGGAAGCTGTTTCTTTAGGCTTTATCTGAGGTTAGTTTTCTAAACTTGGACCCCTGTTTATCCAAAGGTCTTACCTCTTCCCCACCCTTCAGGCATGTTTAGGAGGATGGGTGGAGAGGGTTACCTGTTTTGCTCATCATGATGCACTTGGTGGTGTGTATCTGCAGGCAAATGTGGAGCACCTTGTGTATGTACCTAGGGTACAAACTAAAATTCTGATCTTCAGCTTCCCCTTTTCCTTCTTTCATTTAGATTTTAATATTGGAGCAGGGAGTTGTTAGGCCTCTTTAGTTATACTGATACTTAGTGGAGAGACTGGAAGAAATACATTCCATCCCTTTCAATTGTAGAAATAAAGGTTTGTGTTTTCTGTAGCGTTGCACCCAGTATGTTTCAAATCATAGGACAGAAGCATCCAGACTTTTTTTTTTTTAAGGCCCTAGGCTTCCAGCCTTTTCAGTCCAAGGCCTGCAGTATTACTTTAAACCCCCCCCCCCCCGCTCCCAAAGGAAAAAGAGTCGTGGGATCCCTGTCAATACTGTTGGGGGCAATAGCTTGTCTGAATTGTGGCCTTTGTTCTTCTTGCTTCACCTGAATTAAAACAGAGGTTGCTTCTAGGTTCTGCTATGCAGGGACTCCTGTGAAATTGAGGTAGCCAGTTGCAGGTAGTTCCTATACTTTTTAGTCCCATAAAGCAGAAAGACAAATTCTAAATCAGAGAGAGTATAGATAAAGCTCTGCTTATTATCAACTGTTAATATGATCCCCCTGAAATCTGCAGGCTGTTTTAACCTGTTGGGCAAGGCTGCAGGCTGTTTCAACCTGTGCCAGGCAAGGTGGAGAATCTAGTAAGTGTATGCAACTGGTTTGTACCAGTGAATTGATGGTTTAGCAATTGTTTTGGGATGTCAGGAATCTTGGGAGGACAATAGTGCTGCAGGTTTCTGCTTCATATTAAGCTTGTCAATCACGGGCTAGATGCAGATCTCTTAAAATGGAAACTAGGTTGTGGCTCATAATTCTAGAGCAGATTCTATAGGTGTTGAAGTAGTGCACAATTCTGAAGCTCTGGGTTTAATTCAGTTGATTTAAACTGTTTGTATCAAGAAATCCTCTGTAGTTTGTCACCTCCCCCCTGCACTCAAACTTCAATAACATGTGGTCTGGCAGTATAGCTATGTTGGCAGAACTCCTGGTGTGGCCTCACTTATGTTGTTGGAAATATCGTACTGGTCTAGCTTGTGATGTTTTGGGAGGTGGCAAGGCAGCAGAAAGACCCCTTCTGGCCTGCACTGCATCTCAACTAAGAGACAAGGCCAGCATGACGGGTAGCAGGGGTTCCCGCTCAGGAACCGTGTCTAACAGTGCTGAGCTGTCATCAGATTCAGTAAACTCCTTGTCAGCATTTGATCCATTTAATGCTGTAGCAGGCCTTTGCCTTTTGTTTTGAATGCAAAGGTTCTGGGCTCACCATTGGTCTGGGGAAGGACACTTCACACAGAGGAAGAGAATGGAGGCTCAGTGCAACTTAAGCTCATATTTGAGTACAAAGTAAAAACAGCTGGCTTCTAAACCTGGCAGCCTTTCACCTTTTTACTTGACTAGAATAAAGTTGAACTTGTTTTTATAGGAAAAATCTTGCACTCAGGATTCTGTGCAGCTCATCTGAGAGAGCAGGAGAGATGATAGTGCATGACTGGCAAAAAAAAATGCAAATGCTTCTAGAAACTAAACAGTGAACTGTATTAGTGAAGTTATTTTTGTATTGTGATTAAAAGTATCCTGTGATGATACACCAGAGACATGGCTCCTACCCTGAAAAGTTCAGTCTATAGCCTTTTCTAAATAAGGGGGGGGGGTGTAGAACTTGTGTTAACATTGTAATGATACTTTTAAACAGGCCAACTGTAAACCAGTTCAAGTGGATCCCCAGAAGTATTTATATTTATCGTACCATGTAGAACTAAGCCTGATTTTCTTTTTAATAAAGGAAAGAAAAAAGATTATCTTTAGTAATGAGATTTTTTTACAGAACAGGGGGGTGGTTGAATATTCTTAATATGCCTGTTATTCCTAGATGTTGAAGTGGCCACTTGTGTTGTGTCATCAAAAATATATAATGCAGCCATGTCAATGGTATAGAGCAGCACAGTACATTATTACTGTTCATTGCCAGAAATGAGCCATATGCTACTTATAACTGGCTGGACCAAAATTCCTGGCTTGTCAGTTGAATCTTGGAGACTCAAATTATTGAAGCCTAGTAAGTACCAAGATTAATTTTTGTTAGCTGTGTACAGGGTTATACAGTGTTCTGAAAAGCCTTATTTTCTTCCTTAGAACTTGGAAGAATTATTTTGCAAGAGATTGTGATATATATTGGTCACTTGAAATCGGCATTCCATTCTTGAGTAACTTGTCTATCATTAGCACTAAGAATTAGTACTCTTCCTCTGGCATGTGCTTCTAACTGAAGATATTGTATCAAGCAAACTGGATTGCTGTTCAAAACATTTTGAGGATGTTCTGGGGTGTTTTTTTGTTTGTTTTGGGGTTTTTTTGATGCATAAGCCGTTCCCAACTGAGAACTATTCTGTTTATTTCTTCTTTTGTAGAGGCATTAAAAGAAATAGATGATGTCTATGAGAAATACAAAGCTGAAAATGATCCCGTTCAGAAGAAACGCTTGCAACAGCATCTTCAGCGAGCACTAATCAACAGCCAAGAGCTTGGAGATGAGAAGATTCAGATAGTTACTCAGATGCTCGAACAGGTAGAGAATAGGGCCCGGCAAATGGAGACCCATTCTCATTGTTTCCAAGATATGTCTGAAAATGAAAAACCTTTAGAAAAGGCAAAGGTGGAAACTTGCCAACCAGAGAGATCTTCACGTAGGCCTCGTCGCCAGCGAACCAGTGAAAGCCGTGACCTGTGCCATATAACAAATGGGATAGAAGACTGTGATGATCCACCTAAAGAGAAGAGATCCAAATCTTCCAAGAAGAAGAAGCGCTCCAAAGCCAAACAAGAAAGGGAAGTTTCACCTGTAGAATTTGCAATAGATCCCAATGAACCAACCTATTGCTTATGTAACCAAGTGTCTTATGGAGAAATGATAGGCTGTGACAATGAACAGTGCCCTATTGAGTGGTTTCATTTTTCATGTGTTGGACTTACCTATAAACCAAAGGGGAAATGGTATTGCCCCAAGTGCAGAGGAGATAATGAGAAAACCATGGACAAATGTACTGACAAATCAAAAAAGGATAGGAGATCGAGGTAGTGAATGCAATTCATGTTTTAAAGAGTTGCGTATTTTATATATAAAAAAAAAAAGTTTAATTTACAGAAAAATGTTTTAAGAAATGCATAAGACTATGCAATAATTTTTAATCTATAGTATTAATGGGGTATTAAAGGCTGTTGTACTTTGTTCTCTAACATTCTGCACTGAATAATTGAACAGGGTGGCTTCAGAACTGCACAAAGAGAATTACCAACTTTGGTGTTCTGGTTTCAGTTTAACTCCAGTAGCATTTTTAAGTCCCGCAGCCCCCCCCCCCC